AGGAATAACTGAAGAAGAACATACAAAACATAGTGTGGCCATTGTTCAGTCTTTTCTAAAAGAAATGCAGCACAAGAAACTAACGCCTAGTAGATCTAGTTTCACTTATGCTAAATTGATCTGGTATGGGTAGGTCGCAGTTCCATGTTTTTCAAAATCGGACTGGATTGGATGACTGAAAAAACCGAGAATCAATCAGGTGACTGGTTTCATTTTATCCCAGATATTGACCCAGGTAGTTGAACCGTTCAAACCATTTGAACCGACCAACGGTTTTGGCCATTTTTAATTTTTTTTATTTTTTTGTCAGAACGGAACATCTGTTTGGTTCGAATGATCGAACCATTTAACCCAAAAACCAGACCCCTAACTGGTTCGTTATCCGGTTCGGTTTTAAAAACCTTGCGCAATTCTATATTTTATGAGCATGATGGTTCGTCCAATTTAGAAAATGGCTGAAAATAAGACAACCAATAGGAATGGCAACGGGGCGGGTTCTAGGAGGGGATCATATTCCCCGTTCCCGACCCCGACTATAAAAGTAACCCTTGTTTCCGTCCCCGATACCCGACGGGGACCCAAATCCCCGAAATTTTTTTAGATAACGGTATTCATTTGAAAAATAAATTTACTTAAAATAAATAAAAATTTTAAATTATAAATAATTTTTTAAATTTATTTTGTTATATACATATAATATAAATAATATATATATATACATAATCGGGGTCGAGACGGGGTGGGGACCTCAATCCCCATCTCTGACCTCGACCCTAATCGAGGATTTCTATTAATCTTCATCCCCATCCCCGCCTCGTCAAAATAATTTCCATCCTGACTCTATCAGATCGGGAAAGTCAGATCCCCGCCAAGATGGAGAAAATTGCCATCTCAAATTACCACTACAGGCCACCATAAAAGAAATCTCTCTCTGATGTTGAGCCAATAGCCTTTTAAACACACACAGATATATATATATATATATACATATATCCAATTGATCGAAGGTCAAGAGATCTGAACGCAACCAGGCCAGTGGGAAAGAAGAAAGGGGAAAGAAGAATTTTTTCTTTTCTACCCTCAAGAAGAATATAAAAGTGACGTTGTAATTAATACCCTACTCTAGCAGACAAGCTTCAACCTTATCACTACCACATGAGAACTTTAATCAATTGAACATTTCAAGATGTGATATCATTTTGGAAAGGGTCCTATAAATCATGAATTTATCTAATCAACTTCATTTTTAAGCAAGTGAAGCTTTTGGAGAGCCGATGTTATTTGGGGCCGTTTGGGAGAGCTCCAGCTTTAATTGAGCTGTGCACTTTGAGGAAACTATACTATTAAAACCCAGCTTCACTGAAAACTTGTTTTCTTGGATTCAGTGAAAGCATAATTGGGATTTCCTCAGGTTTCACCAATTAGCCTAACTTAGAAGCTTTTCGTGTGAGAACCACTGAAAACTTGTTTTCTCGTACCCGCTTATAAGTTATATTAATTGGTGAAAAATCCGGAGAGCCCAATTTGGCTACTAAACTAACCGGTTCAACCTCCTCGAATAGTTAATCCTCTAGAACACATCAAAGCATCTGAACCAGTTTAGCTAAATCTTCAACTCAGCCCAACCAAACGAGCCATGAGAAAAGGTTTAAGAAACCGACCTTGTGGACAGGTATTGATTGGCAAAGTCAAAGTTTCATTCTTTTGAGGAAAGTCCAAAGAACCAGATTTCAAAGAAATTAAATGAGAGCAGTTGTAGACTAAGTAACTAATTAATTTAAATAAACACATGGTTTGTTTAATCCTAGACTGCACGCAGAGAATTGTTCTCCAAGTGGTCGTTCAGGTCTGTGTTTTCCTTGTACATCTCCAAGGTAGTCTTAAATTTCGGGGGTAGAGGCTCGGTAATGATATCAGGGAAGAAGGCATTCATTCTCTAAAGGGAATTGCTCTGTCAGGTTGAGGTATCAGTTCGACCTTCCGTAATTTGCCAGAGCTCGGCTTTGACAATGCTAAGCTTGGCTCGGAGTTCGGCAAACATGGGGTCGGGCATGACCCGTACGCCATCTCGGTCTTCATGAGCTTGATGGCGGTCGGCGCAGACTCCGGAGTGCTCGGAGTTAAGACCGCATGCTTCGATCTTAGCACGGTAGTCGTTCAGGACATCCCGGAGGTCCGAGACGTGAGGGGAAGAGGCTCAACGCCGGCCCTTGGCCCTAAAGTTGGCGCTGGGGCGATCGCGGCATCCGACTTCATCTCTCGGCTTGGCCCTTCGGCATCGGTGATGCTGCTCGAAGGGCTGGCAGCTATTCTTCGTTCATTCTGGTTCTTCCTCCCTTCGGCTAGGAGGTCTGGAGTTTCCCCCCTTCGGCTAGGAGATCTGGAGGTCTGGGAGAGCGGGTCGACTGGACAACTACTACCAGACTCGGAAGGCTCGGTCCGCTGCGCGTGGCCAAGGATGGGGACCGATTGGCTGGTGGATCCATGCCAGCCCGGCTGTGTGGACTCCCCGGCGGGGCGGTCACCCTGGGGGCGACCTCTTGCCTAGGGGTAGTTCTACTCGGCATCGGTGAGCATGGCCTGGAACTGCTCATTGATGACAAGATTTTGTGTGTTCCTTGTTCTTCGTACCATGTTGGTTAGTTGGAGCTGAGGGACCTGATAGCTTGTCAAAGTTCTTTTTAGGAAACGTCTTAGCAACGTTTCCCACAGATGGCGCCAATTGTTGATGCTTGGATTGGTTGAGGACAACAAAGTAATTTCGTCCCTAGGCTCTTGAGGCTGACCGAAGGCTTCGAGGGTTCAGAGAGGTTGTTGCCAAAGCTGAGGTATGTAGGCCGAGGAGGAGGGAGCTCCGAGCACTGCAGAAGCCGAAGGTGGGTGACCGAGGTACTACAAGACAGAATACGTCAGAGGCCCCGGGTGAGAACCCAAGGCAGAGTCTCCGACGGTCAAGTTAGTACGGGGTACGAAGAGGGGAACCAGAGTACGATTTGTGAGCCCAATTCCAAATTCAAACTGTAAATTGCATTCAATCCCTGTACCTGAAGGGGGGCACCCATATTTATACTTGAGTTGCCTGAAGGTAGGTGGAGATGAACGCCTGAAATGGGTGTCATACGAGGGCAGTCAAAGAGCTCCGTAGGGATGCATGGGCACCTCGCGATAGGCACAGTACGAGAGGAGCAGGGTAACCCCTGCTATAACGGATCTCATTCCCGAATCTAGCAATCATGGGCTGGGCCTCCCAGCCTCAAATGGGCTGAGTTGAGTCACCCCACATCAAATACCAAACTGTTACAAGCCATTGGTAAACGTGACAAATCAATGCATATCTGCCACAAATCGTTATATAAATTCATATTCAACTGTTAAAGCCATACTTTGACCATCATCATATCCACAAACCATTGCAAATTGACTACAAACATTTACTCCTCACACTCCATCATCACTACATACTTAACTGTTACAAATCCATAACAAACTGATAATCAACTTTTACAAATCTATACATGCCTGCATATTTCATATTTAATTATCCTATTAATTAACGCTATTAAAAATTACCACTAAGTTATACCACATTACCACTAATACCAATTAAGGAGAAAAAAAGACATTTTAATCCATTTTTATCAATTTAATTTTCTTACCAATACTATATCAACCATAAAAATAAAACATATAAAGCAATTAATATTGCTAAAGTTGAAATTCTAATTATCAAAGAAGAAGGAGTCCTATTAAAGCCACATCATTGAAAAGTACAACATTAATTTTTTTTCAGAAACAATGAATCGAGTAACATGAAGAGGACCTTTTCCTCTTTTTTAGGATGAATAAAAGTTTTCCCTTCTATCTTAATTAATCTGATTAGAGCATGGTAATAAAGACTGACATGGTCGTCCTTATTGTGTTCACATATTCTGAACTCTCAAGTAATCTCCAGCTACTCAGATTAAATAAATCCTCTTTGAATTATTAAGGGTTAGGGTTCTAAGAGAAATCAATGGGTATATTCATTAGGATATATATACTTGAACAATCTGATAATTTCAAATGAACGAAAATCTTCTGGAAAGCAAGTTTGTAGGTGTGACATGAGTAGATAACTGTTTCTAACTGTCATTAATTAATTCCTGCAAGTAGGGATTATGGATAATATTTCAAGGGAATGGGAGCAGCTGTCGAATGAGTAATTAATTGTACTAAACAATTGGGGTGTTTAATTAGTCCTGGATTGCATGCGGAAACCACAAGGCACTAGACGACCAATTCGTTGGCTTCATTCTATAAATAGAAGAGTTTGAATGCCTACCTTCTTACCCATCAACCAAGCAATTTAATTGTTCTGTCGATAGTTCTATTCGCAGGTGAAAAATGGATACACGGATGCTCGCAGTTCTTGCCCTCTTGGCCCTTTGTTCTCAAGCTTTAGCCTCTGACCCAAATCCTCTGCAAGACTTTTGTGTTGCCATTAAGGACACTGAGACTCCTGGTACTACATCTGCTCTCCCATTCTTTCCCTTTGTTTTTCTTCTATCACTTGCACAAAATGCAGTTCTGTACTTCCATGTATTCAACTAACATCATATTTACTTTTTAAGGCCTTCGTTGCTTTTGGGATTCCGAAAGGAAAAGTTAGTTAGTGGGATTATGGTTTTTATTGACTATTTTACCTATATTCTTATTTTAAAAATATGTGGGATTTATAGAAAATTTAATTTTCCGAGGTATCACTTATTTTGGTATGTGAAACCCTTTTCAGACTTGGGAAAGTTGATGAGCTTCCCAATAGATAGTAAATGAAAAAAAAAATTAAAATGGTCGAAAAGGCCCCCATAAGATATATTTACCCAAGTAAATTAAACAAAAAAAAGAACCATTTCTTTGTTCACAACTGTTGTTGACACTTGACAATATTCTTATTTTTCTGAACAGTGTTCGTGAATGGGAAGTTTTGCAAGAATCCAAACTATACAACAGCAGATGATTTCTTCTTTTCCGGCCTTGACAAGCCCGGAAACACGTCCAACCCTGTTGGCTCCAAAGTCACACCTGTAAATGTGATGCAATTGCCTGGTCTCAATACTCTTGGCATTTCCTTAGTTCGCATAGATTATGCTCCCTACGGCCTGAATCCACCCCACACCCACCCCCGCGCCACCGAGGTGTTAGTTGTGTTGGAGGGTACACTCTACGTAGGCTTCGTCACATCCAATCCTGAAAATCGCCTTATTACCAAGACCCTTAACAAGGGAGATGTATTTGTATTCCCAGTTGGTCTCATTCACTTCCAGTTCAATGTGGGGCACACCAATGCCGTCGCCTTTGCCGGTTTGAGCAGTCAGAACCCTGGTACAATCACCATTGCTAATGCTGTGTTTGGATCCAAKCCACCCATCAAAGATGATGTTCTTGCAAAGGCTTTCCAAGTTGACAAGAAGGTGATCGATTATCTTCAAGCTCAGTTCTGGATGGACAACAACTAAAACTAAAATATTACTACTGCTACTACTATTACTATCAATAACTGATTAAGTATATGCGCAGTTCCTTATGTAAACGAAGGTGGTTGTTGTACACTTTATAACGAAGATTATATAATATAATGTGATTGGTTTTTTATCCATTATAATCTTAAATTTCTCAAGTTGATTTTCTACGTGTAAATAAGAAACGAGTGTGGGGTGTGGTTGGATACATAGCACCTAGTTCACAATATTCACTTGGACTGAGGAATTGAGGTACATGGATATATCCCTCTACCAAGATAGGTTTAAACATGGATATATCCCCCTACCAAGCAGATCCTTGGTATAGGGAAATGTATTCAGCAGCTCCATTGCCACAAGTTATTTATTTTGGTGAATTTATTCATCAAGTTATTTTATTTTTCAAGTAAATAAGATAATGATCATTTTAATTATAAAAGTTTATTATTAAAGAGACATTCTTATATCATCCAATTGTTATCAATTTTCTCTTTATGGGGTCAGAAAGTTATTTATCCACCTGTGAGATAGGTATCTAGGAATATTAACTTTTCTTGATCCCACATAAATCTGAAAAAAGAATATGGGTTTCTTAATTAATGGGAATCAAAATCCCATTGATCAACTTTTCAACTATCAAAATCCAAAAAACGAACACCCCTTTAATGTTAAAAGCAGAGAGAACAAACTCAACAAACAAACAAATGCAAATAATTCAATATGAAAACATGGTTTATTTCAAAATGATCATGTTAATTTTTGATAATCCAAATATTCATATTATAACTTAATTTATATGTTTTGATTTTAGATTCTAGGTTCTGAAATGCATCCAGATATTAGAATGTTATCCAAATCCTTATTTTGCAATTGTAGAATAAAACTCAATGTTAATAATTAATCAATCCCACCGCTTCCCTTGTATAAGTGGTGCATACGAGCCTAAACTTTTAAGCTTAACTTGATAGAAAAATTTAAGATTTTGGTTCAGGCTTCAATTTGGTTAGAATTAAAAGTTTTAGCTTAAATTTGACTTGTCCCAAAAGTTTATATGTTTGAGATATTTCATAAATATATGATCCTAAATATAGCTAAGATAGCTGAGGAGATATATGTCTTGCTCGCGCTGCCTGTTTCAATAAATGGTGAATGACCTAGTAGGTGATTGGCACTCAGCATCGTTTTCTGAGAAAGTGGTGCTTAATTTTTGTTTGGAAACGATGTTGTCACATATATAGACTGTTTTCTGGGAAAACAACATTAGTTTTGTTTGGCACTAGTATTGTTGAACCTTTTTCAGTATTGGTCTATATTATCCAACGTGAATTAAACATTTGCACACACAATTTCAAAATCACTTTGTCTCTCTCTCTCTCTCAGTCTGGTCTGCTATTGTCTCGTAAAAAGTTTTTTGGAGACTCTTCAAGCTTTGCTGGTTGAAAATTCTCGCCCAAAGCTCTGTTGTATCCTAAGAATGAATTTGCCTATAACCCAACAACAACCTCAATGAAACTGAGTGGGGACAAATAGCATTCTAAAGACAGTGTCTTCAGACATGTCTCAGAACTTTTCCTCCAAGTTTCAGTGACCCTATTTCCCAACAGATGCCATTTCATTGCATTGCTGGAAGCAACAGGCTATTTTTTGAGAAAACATTGTATTTGGCGTTTCTTCATACCATACTTTCCTGATTTCCAAGATGTGGTTAGGAGCAACAATTTTTTTTTTTTCAGAAAAATAATACCAAATAAGAGGTCGTTTTCTGAAACACCACTTTTTCTGATGTAGTGCCTCCGTGTTCCATTTTATGTAATTGATGCCAAACACCGCCCTAGAATTGATGTCTTACGTGGCATACAAATTCGATATGATACATTGCAGACTTCGAGAAAGAAATACATAAAGCGTTACTAACCAAAACCATTGGATCAATAAAAATGATTTCAAAGCTAGGGGTGCAACAACAAGTTACCAAATGTAAGACGTACTGCATATTATGCTATCCCCATCTGAAAGCAACCAATTAACAACGTCCTTTGGATTA